GACTAAATCTCACAAATGTTGCTATTTAGATGAAATGACAAAATTAAGAAGAGAATGGCTGTTCATCAAAGATTTTGAGCAATCTATTAAATAAATAACAAAGGGGGATCTTACACTGTTTTACCCTATAAATTCACAAAACATTAGGCTAATTCATAATTTATATACTACATCCTCTAGTCTAGAAGGTTAACACTCTATCGCATATTTGTGTTTGCATTATGGAGATGTATTATTTTTATTTACAATGTGTTTTTGCAGTGTTGAGCAATACAGCCAATCACAGACATATCTGTTGATTTCTAGAACGCAATGGCCAATCAGAGGCGTTCCTCTCCCGGCTCAAAATGCCAGTGTTTTTGTCCAGTGCTGAGTTCTGAGCGCGAATCCTCTCATTGTAACAAAGTGTAGACACAATGTAAAGAGTTTCATTGTGCAGTGCAGAGTTTCAATGATTATAAAGGAACTTTATATTAAGGAAATTCGAGAGATCTCGATGAACTGAGATAAGCGTGATTATAAAGGGGTTATTTAGTGATTATAAAGGGAGTGTTTTTTGTGCACTTTCTAGGCTATATAATCCAGTCAGAATTTGATTAAAAGTTTTGTTTTTGATGCTGCCAATTACTCTCGAAATTGCAATGACTGACATAGTGATAACCATAGCATTGGACAGGACAATATATGCCAAAATAGATGTGCATTAAGGGCACGTTTATGGAAGCCTGTTTCTGCCACTGAATAAAAAATAAAAAAGGTAATTGCGACTTTTTATCTCACAATTCTGACTTTTTTTCTCAGAATTACTTTCCATACAAAGTCAGAATTGCGTGATATAAACTCGCAATTGTGAGTTAAAAAGTCATAATTGCGTGATACAAACAGTGTTGGGGAAAGACTTTTAAAAGTAATGCATTACAATATTGCTTTACTCCCTAAAAAAGTAACTAATTACGTTACTTTGTATGAAAAGTAATGCGTTACATTACTTTTGTGTTACTTTCGCGTTACTTTTTAAATATGAGCAGGGCTTGATTGTTTTTAATATAAAAATTCTATTTATAGCAAATGTAAAAGCCCTTTCACAGCAAAAAGTGTAATGAATAAACCTCAGGCTGAAGCAAAAGTAAATTCACGTCTGTACAGTAGAACGCAGGAGAAGAAACACTCTTCAGCAATAAAAAAACAAAGCACAATTGTTAGTTTATCTAAAGTCATTTTTGCTTATTAGTATGGTTAAACTGGATCATCAAAGGTCAGCAGCAAAAATATTGGTTAATAAAATGGGATTAGATACATTTGTGCTATTTAACATATTTAATTATTGCAGGTTTGCATCATATTCTGAGTTTGCATTTCACTGTTTTAATTCATTTTGATGAATACTAAATCTGTTTTTTGTGAGTGGGATGAATTAATGCACATTCACATTTAGTCTAGAACTACAGTAACATCATGTTCAAACATCATGTAAATGGGAAAACAAAGTAACTGGCATTACTTTTTGAATGTAATGAAAAAGTACTTATTGAAAAAGTAACTCAGATATTTTCTTGTAAATTAAAAAAGTAATGCGTTACTTTACTAGTTACTTGAAAAAAGTAATCTTCTGTTAAAAAAAGTCAGAATTGTGAGATAAAAAGTCACAATAACCTTCTTTAATTTTTTATTCAGCGGCGGAAACGGGCTTTCATACACGTTTGCACGACTGTGTGCTAAAAAAAAGTTTTCCTTTACATTTCTCGCGTACTAGATGACACAAAAACAACTTGAAATGCTGTATTATGCATGCCAGGCCAGTAGTTGGCGATGTCACTCTTTAAAGACACACTATGCAAATAGTAATACGCATTTTTTTCCTCAAATTCACATTTTTGTATTTTACACGGAGACAATAACAGGTTTTGCTTTGAAAAATGTGCACTTTGAAACCTGTTTTAAAAAGTTTGCTCTTTCAAAACACTGTCGTCGTGCAAATTTTGTCATGAAAATGCCTCTCAGAAGCTTGATTCTTGAACCGGGCCTGTGTTTGGTTGCTTCAGCATTGAACACGGAAGGGAAGCACCTCTGGTGAGCGACTGGGCGTTTAGTTGATGGGAGGGTAGAGAGATCTGCGGCAAGTGTGCCTGGTGTGAGGGTGTTCTGTGTCGCTGTCATTAATTCTCCACTGAAACGGTCTCCAGTTCCCCAAACACCTCCCTCGCCTTTAATAAGTGACAAATAGGATCGGCTGGGCCTTTGTGGTCAGCAGCCTGGAATCAGGCGCCGGGGCGCTCGGCCCAACGAGGGGGAGGGAAAGCAATCTAGGACAACGTTCCTTTGGCCCGATTAGGCTGCCATGGATAATGCAGCCAAGCCAGTAATACATGGCAGGGAAGGCATGATGGTGGGCACCAATTAGTCTGGCCGGTAAGTTTTTACTCCGCATTTACAGGTTCAATGTAATGTACTCAGAAATTCTTATTAGTCTGCTGCAATGACGTGCTGTGAAAAGTTTTCATTTGTGTTTTTCGCGCGCAGACAACGTGGTCAAAATGATCCCGGTTCACACAGATCTGAGACATCTACTAAAAACGCTGTATTATGCACTCCAGACCAGTAGGTGGCGATGTCACTTTGTAAAGAAACAACGCAAACATAATACGCATGTGCATAACATCAATGTTTTCACAGTTTCACATAACATTTGCATTTTCAGTTTACACAGATATATCGTTTTCAAAAAGTCACACTTTGAAACCCGTTTTCAAAAGTTTGAGGTGTTGAGGTGAATTGATGATTCAACGACACTTTGTAAAAAAAAAAAAAACAGTTTATTTCACTAAACATATACAAGAATAAAAAGTGTTCACCTCTGCTGTGTTTTCTCTTTATACATCAAAGACTAAAACATGTCCAGGTTACATTTCACCTCAAAATCAAAAAAAAAAAAAAAAAAAAGAAATTAGATTTCAAAGAATGAGAGAGCTGTACACACCAATTAGTCTGGCCGGTAAGTTTTTACTCCGCATTTACAGGTTCAATGTAATGTACTCAGAAATTCTTATTAGTCTGCTGCAATGACGTGCTGTGAATAGTTTTCATTTGTGTTTTTCGCACGCAGACAACGTGGTCAAAATGATCCCTGTTCACACAGATCTGAGACATCTACTAAAAACGCTTTATTATGCACTCCAGACCAGTAGGTGGCGATGTCACTTTGTAAAGAAACACAACGCAAACATATAATACGCATGTGCATAACATCAATGTTTTCACAGTTTCACATAACATTTGCATTTTCACAGTTTACACAGATATATCGTTTTCAAAAAGTCACACTTTGAAACCTGTTTTCAAAAGTTTGAGGTGTTGAGGTGAATTGATGATTCAACGACACTAT